ACTGAAACCGCAGGACTTATTCATTGCGATAATCATGTCTGATCCAAGTACGCTTACGATTTTGGTTAATTATTTCTTGATGATCCAACATGAACGATCTTATGACGGTAAATATTATGGTTGGTTTTATTTCCTACACCCGGTACTTTTGTGAATGGCAAGCTTCATTGGCTCAGGAGTCTTTCCAAGAGCTGGACTTCTACACCTGACGACATAGTTTCCCTTGATATAGAGACAAAACTGTATGGAACAATTGAGCAGCCTGATTGCCGGAACTGACTTTAGGCGTGTTGGGAGCATGTCTTTGTGTGCTTCGAAGTAATTGGACTCACGGGGATTTGTCGATTTTTAAGGAGTATGGAGTAAACAAAATCGCATGACAAATTCTTTGTTTCATGGAAATTGGGTCTTGGGGTGACTATGAAGCGTCGCAGGAGTTTTGAGGATGTCAAATTGAGTGGTATACTGGTATCTCTTTACGACGGAACCGAGTGTCCTACAGGTGCCTTTCAATATCTTGCTGCAGATGTATGTGTCATAACTGTTGGATACGTTTTTGTTGATTTTTGTATGAACGGTATTGTTTCCATTCTTTGGCTTGTAATGAACGATTGGTATGAGAGCCTAGTATGCTATCTTAAGGTTTTATGAAATGACAACTGTTTCTCGTGATAGTTATGGAATGGGATTGGTTATTGCACAAACACTTTCTTTGATTATGCGTTTTTAAGAAATAAATCCACTTTTTTTTCAGAAATTGATACAAGAACTGCCTGGAAGAACTCTATTTTACGGATATAGAAGCTGTATTCTTGGCATGATAAATTTGAAGTCAACCTCATACAAATCCATTGAATAATTTATATCTTGCATACATGAAGTATCGATTGTAAAATATGATGGAGACCATGTGATGTGATTGATTCTCATAGGAATAATTTTTGTTAAGTTATAGAGTCTAATTATTGTCATTGTGTGGAGTCAGTACGCTAATCAACGATTTTGCTCCAATTTTCTTATAAATAGGGAATCGTTATTAGGATTTTGTATTATTATCAAAAAATAGAGTGGTTAGAGAAAATAGAGTGTAAGATTCTTTTGTATTATCTCTCATGTTCTTGTATGTATATTTTCTTTCTGCAATTTTGGCGCTCTTGTGGTATAGATTAGAGTTTTTACTTCTTAACCATTTTTGCACGGTATTCTCTTCACCAGTAATAGTTTATAAAATTCATTTTGTAGGCCTGCAACTGTTCGGGGATGGAAGCTAATGAGGAGCATCTCTTACCAGTGCGATGAAAGGAGATACAACTACTTATTTTGGAAATTTATCTTATGTGTCATGGGTTTTCTTTCCGTCTCTAGTAGATAGCATCCTCTTATATAATATAGTGTATCACCATGGTACATTGCTGATCCATGCTTTGAGGATTCATAACTATCAGCATCGTGTATGAATTTTCTACTTTTTTTTTTGTGATATATGTCTCTTTTAAGTCTTCAACCTATCATTTTTGTAGCACTTGGTTCCCTTGTTGACGGAATTGCTCAAGATGCCGTAAAATATTTTAACTCAAAGCAAATGGAAAGAAAGGAAAGGAAAACGAAAAGCAATCACTATCACACTATGATAGGTCAATACCAACAAGTGTCGCGCACCATTTTAGTCGATTGTTGTCGTGTTTCCTACTATGAGAATCACAATCTGTAGATG